CTGTCAGAGTTAAGTGGAGTTCCTGCTGAGTATATCTATTGTACAGAGGTTAGTCATTAAAACATATTAAAGATACTCTCTCTCTCTCTCTGACTATAGAGTCAATCATTTCCAGTTGAGATGTCATGTCTAGATATTGAGAATAACTTGAAATGGTACTCTATCAGTTCAGACACATATTCATTAGGACTATACAACTATGATGGATTTGTCATATGTTACAAGTACTAATGAACACACACATTATGTATACACACACACTTACATACACCTCTTACTGTTTATAATTATTTAGAGACAATAGAGAGACAATGAAAGATTTAACAGATAAAGAGAGATCAGAAATACAAGAGGCAGAGGAAGCAAGGTCAGTAAACCTCATGTATCATCATGTACATGTACTATCAGTTAATTAAATACCTCATCACTTATACTCATTGATAGGTTGAAGAGGATTAGGGAATGCAAATTGAAGCATTGGTACTAGGACTGACTGAATAGATTAATTTAGTGTCATATTAATTTTAATTTTTTAGTTGCAATCTGCAAAAATCATTCGCTATGCAATAATTTAAAATGGTTTTATAAATACAATTTTGTTTAGTTTCACTAGTTAGTTTTTTAGTGATTCTATTTGTTGATAGTCCCCACAGTGAGTTAGCTATATCCACATGATCACATTTACTAATATCAAATGAAAAGGACTCAATCTCTCCATCATCTCTCCTCATAACTGGCAACCATTTGGAGTTAAGGAATAAGAGAATAATAATAATAATAATAATAAATTAGGTACATGTGCAATATGCTAAAATGTAATCATACCATAGTTCAATAGGTAATACTGTATAGTGTGGATTTATACTTTAGTGAGACATGGTTACACGTATTATACAACTGTGAAATTAGGGATTTTATTTTGGCTCTGAAATCACTCCAATGTTTTACTGATACATATTGATGTACATGTACATGGTATGTTAAGAGGATACATCCTTGTACATCATCAACTGTTGAGGATTTTATTAAAATGAACTGGTAGACTCTTCTTTTAAAGTTTAAACTCATATTTATAATAATAAAATAAATAAAATAATTTAATCAAAAGCAAAGTAACTACATGTACATATCCTTGGCCTATGCTAATCGCTGGCAAGGCCAAAATGACTAAAATAATTATTGTAAAGTTGCTGTATTACAATTCCACACATTATAAGATATAAAGCTACTAGTGGATCATAATGATGTGTGTGTATACATAGTTACATACACTTACTTGATACACTCTGTCTTTATTTCTTTCCATTAAAGTCTTTAATAATTGTTTCTCTTCTCTTAGACTCTCTGTACGCTCTTCAACAGTTTCCGGAGCATTTATAAATTAATAAATAATTAATAATAATAATAATAATAATAATAATAATAATAATAATAGTATTAACCATGTACTATAAGCCCATGTTTTTCCAAAATTGGCTCCAAAATCAACCCAAATTTTTATTACATTTTCTGTTACACATTGACGTCCTATGCTGTGTAGAAAGTTTGAGCCGATCC